TGAGACATGTTTTAGATTTGAAAGAAAATATTATCTCCTTGAGTATTCCTGATTTAAAAGGGCTTAAGTACATCAATGAAGATAGAGTCTTGAAGATTAGTAAAGATGACCGTGTTGTGATGAAAGGATAGAGAAGGTCACAGTTATATGTCTTCCAGGATTTAACAAAATCTTTGGATATTAATAAGCAGAAGTTAGGAACTCTTGTGGAATTTGAGTATGGCATAGTACCATTGAAGTCTTATTAGGGTCTACATGGAAGTCATGGATAATGACACTTATCCACCATCACCAATGATGCTGCGGTATTCAATTGCTAGAGACAAATCCAGGAGAAATATTAGGTCTCCACAAAGGTACGGAGAAACTAATTTAATTGGTTATACTTTAAATGTGCTTAAAGGTATTAAATCTAGCGAAAAACCTTCTACAAAAGCAATTAGTAGTGTTGATTTTATTACAGGATATGTTTCTACTCTATTTCGTAATTATTGTTAAGTTATTTGTGATTTTGTTACTCTTGATGATAATTCCAGTAGCTTTGGCACCCAAGGTATTCCTATCGTGTAGTACTTGGATTCAGTTGATATTCAATTATTAAATTTGTCTTAGTTGGCCTTTTGTGAAAGAAGTGAAGAATTTTTCTTGGAGAATTTTGTTGAAAAATTAAGTTCTATTCTTTATGGTGGAGAATTTTGTTCAAGAATTAAGTTCATTCATTGTAGTGAAATTTATGTCAAGATGGAGATTTGTTAAATTATAACCTAAAACCTAAATTTTTTTAGATATTCGAAGAGACATTGAAGAAGTCTAAAGATAGACTAAGGAGAAGAAGTCATCGCATTTTGACTCGCTTAGAGCTCATCTCCGGCTCAAACATTCGAAATAGGGAATCCGCAACTCGTCTACCACGAGCTTGGGCACTCGAGCATAGTGTGCTACTCGCTGTGCGAGTGCTTTGCAGCTCGAGTGTCGGTGTTTCACGGTGAATCATTGGCCTTAACGCGGTCTACAGCATCTTAGTATAGGAGGGGATTGACAAGCTTCAACATGCCATTTCATGACAAGCCGTCAAACTCCTCAGACATGGCTAGATGCTATTAGGAATTTTTGAGTTCTATGGTATGAGGAGTAAGTGATGATGTCCATTTCAAGTGTGGTGACCAATTTTTAGATATGTTTTCAAATATTGTTTTTGCCCTAGTAACCATGGTACGGGTGTTTGGTGGAGGACATGATGGAGGGCTTGACTACAATTATCTTACTTCAGGCATATAAAAGTATGTATTGCTAGTGCACATCATAGTCTCAATTCCTATCATTAATTCCTATCATTATCAATTTTCATTTCACTGATAGTGAAAGCAAAATGTATGGTAGTGAATAATCCAATGTGCTTGTGTATCATGAGTTGCTTCAAAGCCGCCACCTTTGACCTTTCTATAATTCTGTAGCTTCAATAATCCGCTATAATATTTATTGACATCAAATTACGACAGCTTCTGCAAAAAAGGGGTCTGATATGTACTATACTACCGTCAACTGGATAAGTTTGCTTATTCTTTAGTGGACAAAGCCAAACGTCCAGGTCTCCGACTGCGGACCCTTCAATAGGGGATGCCACATGAGCGCCCTGTTTTTTGTCTAGTCTCCCACTCTGGACGTTTGGCTTTTTCCACTAAATAATAAGCAAACTGAATCCCTCCAATAGGGGGGGGTGTCATGTGGGCGTCCTGTTTTTGAGCCTGTCCCCCACCTTGGACAAGAAGTAGAACTATTATTTAGTACCGTTAAATACTTATATATATATATATATGAAATTTATCAATAAAATGAACGGAATGTGCTATGATGCTCTAATAATAAAAGGATAAAATGTGCTATCAATCCCTAAAGTTTGAAAACCCCCCGCCTCCCCCCTCTACTTGTCTCCGGAAGGGTATTCGTATCTTTCAAGGTCCGGGTCTCCGAAAAGGTATTCTTATCTTTCAAGGTTGAAAAATGATGCAAGTATAAGCCCCTGACAGGTGAAAAAAAGGTGGGAGTGGGTCCCACGATTTTTTTTTTAATATGTGTGGGGCTCAACCCCAAACAGTGAGGAGCTTGTGAGGCCCCTGGGAGCTGAGCTCTTGTTCGTGGAATTCAGTTCTTCAATGTTATATTTCACAAGCTATATTAAACTATTTAAAAAATTAATCATAAAATTATAATGGATGGTGTTACATAAATGATGTCCCTCAGTAAGGAAATTTTTTAGTTATTTCAGATTATAAAGTATTCAGTATTTCACGCTATTATTCAATTGACATGTGTTCAAACATATATATGTCAATTAAATAATTACTGAGAGTAATCAATTTCATACTTAAATGTACTAGAAATTTTCTTGTAGGGGTAAACACCTTAATTGGACCTTGATATCTTGAGAATTGAACAACATCAATCTCATTGAGAAATGTGAAAATGGAACCATTGATTTATTGGAAAATAAGAATTGCACTAGTTCGGGATAATGGCGGCCCTCTGTATCCAACTCCGTCGTGGATTTTCTGATTTTTTTTTTCTAAGTATGACTTAAATTTATAAAATAAAAATATGATTCGAGCGTGCTTCCTCGACGAGTCTTTGAAATGCATGGCGGGATTGGTAGAGCAGGGACGGGGTATCTCTTCATTCCTACATGGAATGAGTACCTATCGGATAATTAAAAAATATCGCAAGTAACATTATTTAAAATGAAAA